GAAACATTGCCGTTATGAATACTTACCCATCTGTTAGAGAAGATATTAAATATGAGCTAGGTGTCTGAGAAACATTGCCGTTATGAATACTTACCCATCTGTTAGAGAAGATAATAAATATGAGCTACGTGTCTGAGAAACATTGCCGTTATGTATACTTACCCATCTGTTAGAGAAGATATTAAATATGAGCTACGTGTCTGAGAAAAATTGCCGTTTTGAATACTTACCCATCTGTTAGAGAAGATATTAAATTTTTTCACCAATATTTCGTTGATCATGTCTCTGTCTGCTGTGACGACGTTTAAGACATAACCATTGTACCACCTGTTTGTCATAAAACAAATGTAAACTGACAAATTTTGTGCTGATAATGCATTTTTTTAATATGCAGTTGTTCATGTGCGACTTTTATGTTTTCATTACTACTAAAAAAGGGTATATCAAGCTAGAAGCGAAAAGTTAAGAACTCTGCCAGTAGATTATATTTTGGAATGGCAGTCTACCGCATTACGTCCCTTTGACGCGCCTCAAACACCACCACTCTTGTGACAAAAGTTGCTGACGCGCGTAAGGTAGTTCCGGTGTAACTAAGGTTCGGCGTCTACGTTGTGAGGGTGTTGACATCTTCAGTGTGTCAATCTATAAATGTCGTTTTGATGACATATATGGTGACATAGGACCATCATAATGCGGGGTTGCCATTCAATATCAAAGATTTTAAGATGATCGAGCAGATAACATGGACGATAAAGGTAAACTTCCTTATTCTTTGAGAAAAGCTTCCACATTTAAAAAAAATTCATTCTGTGAAATAAGTCCGTCTTTATATCAAGGTGTAAATGGAACGTTATGGACACTATCCAGATACGTTTTTTCGACAAAACAAAAACGCTTTACTCCCACCGGGACTATTCTGTAAGAACCCATGATCGCACTAAACTTATTTTTATGTTATTGTCGTCCGATAACCAACAATTTCTCAACTCTTACAAAGTTACATATTTGTGTATATTGGCAGTGTTTTTCGGGAATTTTTCATAAGTATATTTTGAACGATCGCACTTTTTTAGAGAGGGGGGCTGGATTCACATTGACAGAAAACACTGATGGGTACACAGGTAAGTTAAAAAAGGTCTTTTAAGGAAATAACAATAATAAAAACGGTTTACCATTCACTGTTACAAGAAAAAGAGATTATAGACTACATTTGTAAACAACATTTATTAAAATGGGTTCTCTTTTTTTTGTTTATAATTTGATAAAACATACAATTGTAATCCCAGTCACAGTAAAATCATGCATAGGTTAACAAATCTAATTTTAGAATGCTTTCACCTGTGTATGTCTGCTCCAATGATTACAACATGAAAATCAGACACTACTTCAGAGATTTGAAACATTTCTTGATATACTTTTAATTTCTTTTGTATAAAACAAGAAAGCCTTCCTTTTTGGAATAGTATCACAACACTTGTCCATGTTGATGTGCAGGTTTAAATGTGTAATCTATTCTTGTGAAAAAATATTAAAACATTACCAGTAAAAAACTCAATATCATGATAAATCCCATTATATGGTTTCAGATTCTATCACTGTCAAGGGAGGAAAAAGATATTGTTTACTGTGCT